AAAAAAATAATAATAATCATGGAGTGACTGCATTCTGGTAATCTCTTCCTCAATTTGCTTCAAACCTACAATCCGCTGAAGGCAAACCAGAAAAAAGATCAATCGCGATAAGAAAACATAATGTTTATCAACAAGAAACCTATCAAAAAGGAAAATCTCCCTCCTTTCCATAAAGAATAAAGGGTTCCAAATACTCAGTCATCCCAAGCACCCTCCGCCAGCCAACCAATAACAATAGCAAGGGATCCCAGCTTATGGAGCTACTCCTCTCCCTCAGCTCTCCTTAATGGCTCGAGCTGGACAAGCAATGCCAACTTTTGCAGTATCACCGTAGAGAAGGTTAAAGTATCTAATTTTAGGTCTCAATTCCAACATGATACAATGAGTTAACAGTTTTCAGGAAATAAGATGTACGTATCTGTAAACTACATAAAAGTACAACTCCACAGGACCACAAGTCATTAAAATATCTCGAAATTGAATAAATTAAGAAGAGTAATATAACATGGAAATATTTACCGTCAAGCTAACGGAAGTGAAAATGATAAAATTACCTGAAGAAAGCACCAAGCTAGATTTAAAAGAGCAGCAAACCACAGAAGTCCATAGTATCCGATCATAATAGACGATCGACGGTGATTGAGCTTCTTAAGGTTGCTCCTAGCATGAAACCCTAAGTACACTATGAACAAAGCCGAGGGTAATACCAGCGCCGTATCGTGCCAGAATCCATGGCACGCAGTTGTGGAGCTGGAAAACCGGAATATGAAGTGATCTAAACCGGTGGCTCGGACCGGACCGGCTTTAGTGATGGAGTATGTTCCGCTAAGATTCGACATTAGAAGTGAAAAAACAGAGAATTTAAGGCATTTTGAGAAGTTGAAGATGAGATTGAATCGAAATTCGAAAACCTAGAGTTGACGTGAAATGGAAGCAATCGCGGGAGAGGAGATCGATGGGTTGTTGTGTTGATGATGGAGGAAGAATTAGGAAATTGAAAGCTTGGTACTTATTTGGACGGGAAATAAATTAATGTGGAGTGAGGAAAAGACAAAAGAATGCCGTGTACATATATATATAGCCACTTGGCAGAATCAGTGGAGTTTGCATTCACGTGCTTTTAGTGGAACTAGTAGGACTTCCCATTCAGAATCTATCGTATGCTTTTGCTTTCTGTAACTAATTTAGGAAACTTTCCTAAAACGTGATGATTTTCAATTCAGGTCTGAAATATTTCACACTATTAATATAATTTAATATGTTACTATAACAAATTATTTGTTATTTATTCTAGATTTCTACTCTTATCAAATAAAAATTACTGATAATTACCCTTCTAATAAAGCTTACAAATTTCGTGATATAGTAGTTTCACATATATCATAATGTCACCAAAATTATACGAAAAGGATGAGAAGTTATAACACTCTACAAAACTTCTTAAAACCAAAAATAATAATCCCGGAGTCGAAATAGTGCGCTTGACTATTGATGTTTCATTTTATTTTATTTACTTTTTTGAAAACGAATTCATTGCTGTCTAACATCTCCAGATCCTTTAGAAAAGGATGTGTGTCATGCTATGGACGGCTAAACTAGCCGAAAGTTCACTAGCTAAGACTTTAGCTATAAGCTTTACCCATTTAGCCTATGTCCATTTGTATATTAGCAGTCTTTCCACGCAAAATCTTATTAATTTCTTGCTGTCAAATTACACAATCAGCACTAAGAATATGGTCTACAAAGTCGAATTTGGCAGTTGACCGATGACAAACCAGATTATCGCAAAAGTAATTCTATTATTTATTAACTTGCCAACCATAGTACATTTTTCACCGAAGTGAGTACATTAAGAAAGACCACAACTAAAAAATTTGCAATTACATGATAGCAGCGGAGGATAAAACCCTGTTTCAGACCCTGTAAGACAACAAAAATACGTTCCTAAAATCAACACATACACAAGTAGTATCCTCAAAGTTGAAGCTATTGCAATGTTAGTAGTCTCTGTTTCATCTTTTTTGATGAATTTTCAACTTCTTCAATCTTCCATTTCGTCTTCTTCAATTTCTTCAATCCTCATTTTCTTGACTGCTTGGACAGCATCACTCCTGGGACCATTAGGAAGCTGAATCAATATATCAGATTTTTGCCCGGTGGCAGCATTCACAAGACCTCCATTCTTCTCCACCCTGTAGGTTAGATCTTTCCTGCCGACACCAGCATCTATGTAAACCGTTGAGTTCTCATCAATCTCCTCCTTCACAAGCATCTTGGATAGCTCGGTCACCACCTTCCTCTCCAACCATCTCCTAATAGGTCTTGCACCATAAACCTGAATGCCATGATCACCACAATAAGTACAAGTTCGCAAAATAATCCTAAAATATTGGACTAGATTACAAGATATAACACTTACCGGGTCATAACTCTCTGAGAGTATGACATCTAGAGCTGCCTCAGTAACACCCAATGCAATACCCCTCTCAGCCAGCCGTAGTGCAACGTCTTTCATCTGGTAGCGGCATACTTGCCTCAACTGCTCGTGGGACAGGGGATCAAACACAACAATCTCATCCAGCCGATTCAGGAGCTCGGGCTTAAACTGCTTTCGCACCTATCACAAAGCATACACACATGTAAACAGTTGTCATTCTAGCTAATAAGGTAAACTATTTCACTGTATTCTTCCAGTTTTATCAGCAAAGGGGAAGTTACTAGTTTGAGACTATTTACCTCCTGCATTACCATTTCACGAGCCGTCTCCATCGTACATTTTCCCATTAATCCAGACAACAGATACTCTGCTCCCAAGTTTGAAGTCATAATAATCACGGTGTTGGTGAAATCAACTGTGCGGCCTTGACCATCTGTTAACCTTCCATCATCCAAAACTTGAAGCAATGTATTAAACACCGTAGGATGGGCTTTCTCAACTTCATCAAAGAGCACAACACTGTAAGGCCGCCTCCTAACAGCTTCAGTAAGTTGTCCTCCCTCATCGTGCCCAACATAACTGCAGATGTGGAACACATGAGAATCTGTGATTGAATACTGTAATAATATGACATGACATTAAAAGAAAAGAATTAGATTCAAACTTACCCTGGTGGAGCACCAATCAGCCGGGCAACAGAGTGTTGTTCCATGTACTCGGACATGTCTATTCTGATCATCAGTTTATCATCATCAAAGAGCTGCTCTGCAAGAGCTTTAGCGAGCTCCGTCTTTCCAACACCAGTTGGCCCCAAGAAAAGGAATGAACCAGTTGGTTGCTGTGGCCTTCCTAAACCAGCTCTAGATCTTAACACGGCTTCAGCAACAGCTCTAACTGCATGATCTTGCCCGACCACTCTTTGGTGCAACCTATCGCCAAGACCAATCAGTTTCTCTTTCTCATTCTGCCCAAGCCTTGAGACCGGAATACCAGTCCAGCGACTCACAACTTCGGCAATCTGATCAGGACCCACAGTCTCTGTTAGCATTGTACTCTCAGCTGAGGTACTCTCAAGATTTGCTATTGCAGTTTCCACTTCTTGAATTGCCCCATATCTCAGATCTGCTGCCCTAGCCAGATCATATCTCCTTTCAGCTTCTTGTAAAGCATAAATGAGCTCATCGCGCTTTTGCTTGAGCCTGCGAAGCTCATCTATCCTTTCCTTCTCTTTTTTGTACCTCATCATCAAGGGCTGGAGTTTGTCTCTCAAATCATCAAGTTCTTTCCTCACCTGGACCAGTGTCAGTATAATTCGAGTCAGTATAATTCTTAACATATCTTTTAGAAAATAGAGCAATTACCAGTAAAAGCATTGGTAGTATATAATACTTACTTCTACTAGACGTGCTTTGCTAGCTTTGTCTTTTTCCTTCTCGAGAGCGTGAAGTTCAACTTCTAGCTGAATTCTCTTCCTTTCGAGATTGTCAATTTCCTCAGGTTGACTATCAAGCTGAACTCTAACATTTGCACAAGCTTCATCAACTAGGTCAATAGCCTTATCTGGCAGATGTCGACCTGAAAATACAAAGAGGTTAGTGATTTTTGCACCTGAAATGTGCAGCAAAGACAATTTGCATGCCAAACTGCCAAAATTTAACTGGCTGACTGCTTAATTTGTCACGACACAGACATAAAAAGCATTTTGCAAAAACTGACAGTGGAAAACGAGCTACGGATTTGATTTGAGCAATTTTTAATTATCCTCAAGAAGTTTTAGTACACTTCTGACAATCATATAAGTCTTAATCCACCATTATCCAGATGGGGAGCAGCTTGTAACACAAAAACAACTCATACACTGGTAAAGGTCCAGAAGGAAGTGCAGACAATGATATGCTAATTAAGTCTCATGCCCTACCTGCTTAAATGAATCAAAATTCTGGCTACTGCTTCAAGAAGTCATTTTAGTACCAGACAAATATACATCTATAGCTCCGACACCATAACATTTTAGGTTAAAATTCACCTTCATTCGCTTAACCGAATCTAAGTCCCATTCTGATTTATAGAGTTAATGAAATGCACGAGGAAAAAGTAGTGCATATACATGCTTAGTTATTGACGGAGAAAAGACATCAAAACAAGGTGCTATGTAAAAATAGCAAAAGTATAGATACCTGTAATGTACCGAGATGAGAGCTGGGCAGCCACCACAAGAGCTCTGTCCTGAATTTTAACACCATGATGCCCTTCATACCTCTCCTTCAACCCGCGGAGAATACTAATAGTGTCAGTAACACTAGGCTCAGCCACATACACCTGCTGGAAACGCCTCTCGAATGCAGCATCCTTCTCAACATACTTCCTGTACTCTTCAAGTGTAGTTGCACCAATACACCGTAATTGACCTCTGGCTAGCATTGGCTTAAACAGATTAGCAGCATCCATAGACCCTTCTGTCCGACCAGCACCAAGGACTAAATGTATCTCGTCAATGAAAAGTATCACTTTCCCTTCTGCTTCTTCAACTTCTTTCAGCACAGCCTTCAGCCTCTCTTCAAATTCACCTCTGTACTTAGCTCCAGCAACTAGCGCTCCCATATCCAATGCTATAAGCCTAACATCAGCTAAATTACTTGGAACATCACCACGTACAATCCTCTGTGCTAGCCCTTCAACAACTGCTGTTTTACCCACACCAGGCTCTCCAATAAGAACCGGGTTGTTCTTCGTCCTCCTTGATAAAATCCGAACGACTCTTCTAATTTCTTCATCCCTACCAATCACGGGATCAAGCTTTCCTGCTTGTTCCACAAGATCACGGCCATAAGTCTTGAGTGCTTGGAATGTGGTATCCCCTGAAGCACTTTCCACTTTTCTTCCTTCCTTTCCTCTAAGTTTCTCTACCTCTGATTTCACTCTTGATGCACTCACCCCAGCTTCTTTCAAAAGATCTCCGATTTGAGAGTCTTCTAGCAGTCCTAAAATCAACTGATCCACTGCTAAATGGCTGTCACCACAAGACTTCTGCGACGATTGTGCTCGTCGTAACACCTTGATAAGGGAAGTGCTAGGTGGGATTTCGTCTGGAGCCGGTGTCTGAGAAGGTAGCTTCTTCATCGCTTGATTCAATACCCGCTCCACTGAATTAGCTACTTCTTCATTCCCACCAGCATTGACAATCGCTTGTCGAAAAATACCATTGTGATCAGATATTAAGGCCACAGCCATATGCAGAGGCGTAAATTGAGCATGCCCTGCGGATAGTGCTAGCTCGTGTGCCCCAGCAAGGGCCTCGTTAGTCTTGTGGGTGAATTTTTCAGGATTCATAATGAGTCACCTATAGACAATCTGCAACAAAAGCACACACATTCCAAATAATCGGTTAAGTAATACTCCTATTTTCCAAATTAAGTGCACTGTACACCATAAGATCAATTAAGATGGAAAACTAGCTAGAATAGCAACTTTACAGTTCTAGATGTAACTATTGCAAATCCGCACCAGAATAATAATGGAGTTAATCGGGAAAAAAAAAGAAAAAAAAAAACAGGATCACTAATTAATTGAACTTTCTGTAACTTATCAAACAAGTAATGCAAAATAACCAAACTAGTAGTTTGTGACTTAAGGCGTGGTTAATACATCCGACAACTACTAGTTTGTGATTTAAGGCGTGGTTAATACATGATTGAATGAATGATCAACTGGAACACGTATTAAGAAGTGAATTCAATCAAACACATGCTATCCAAAACAATGCCCGCAGCGGCGATGCCGGCGAATCAACAAATATTACAGCACGAGAAAGAAAATGCAGAATATGGAAATGAAACAGAGCTAACCAATTATCAAATGCCAGACATGCAAGTGAAGCAAGCATACCTTACGTCAATAAACGAATAGTAAACCAGAAAATTTGCAATTCCTTCAATGTGATTCGGCGAAATTCGAGTGCTTGGTGTCGATTTGTGTACGTTTCAGGGAGATTTCACAAGTAATTCTTTGAGTTCGAAGAAGAGTGGAGAGGGGGAGAGGTCCTTTTGTTAAGCAAGAGCGAAGAGTCGGGAAAGTTCGATGGTGAGCCCAGAAACTACTAGATTGTTTTCTGGAACCGCGACGTGGATATGAAGGAGTCAAGTGTGGGCCTAGTTTTATTGTGTCTCTGGTCTTTACTGGATTGACCGAGATATGTCAGTTCACCACCCTCGTTTTAGCATATTTCACTATCAGTCCCGCTCTGTAATAAGAATAAAAATCCCTTTTCCTTTTCATTTTAATACGAGTATTTCTTTTAGTCATTGCTCTCGTATTCACGATAAATGGCCTATCTATATTTGGAGTTATGTTTAAAATAGTCCCTTAAATATACCGTTAAGCAATTTTAGTCCTTTAATTTTATAAATATTTAATGATATTTTGGTTGTTAGATTTAGAGGAAATTATAAAAAAATAATTAGCGATAACTAACATTTAGAGGTGCATTCTTTGATTTCTGTTATTTTTGTTTTAGTATCTTACGCAAATTTTTTGAGGAACAATTTCTGTTATTTTTTATTTGTTTTTGTGTCTTGGGGATTTTATGATTGATAGGTTCTTCCTAGTGTTTCTAGTTAAATCTTCTTTTTTCTACAACTCAATTAAATCTAGCAACTAAAGTTTATTAAATATTACAAAAATCAAAAGATTCACTATGACAAATTTGAAGGATAATTTTTTAATCAAAAGTGCATTTAAACTATTTTGACTTGCACATGCATAAGATACCCTTTTTTACATTTTTTTTTACATGGTAAAATCACTGTAACATCAGAATATCTAGTTCAATTCTCCATGAACCAAAAGTTCATCAGAATATATGAAACGAGTACATAACCAGTATTTTCTAAAAAAGTGAGCACCGGTGATTTACATGATTATATAGATGTTTGAAATCCTTTTTTTAGATTCGTAATTTAATATGTTTATTAGTGAAAATACATTGCATTTTCTGAAAAAGGCGTAATTCACTATTTAAACGATATATCTATTCTTTATGAAAAACGTGATGCAACCATTAAATAGTACTTTTACTCGTGGAAATGCACGTTAATTGCTTCTTTTATTTTTGGAGAACTTTATTTACTTGTTCACTCTCTATAAATACTTGTCCCATTACATAAAATCAAGACTTGATTTTTGTTATCAGTTGGCTCTTTCTCATTTCACATCATTTCAAAGTGCATGTTAAAGATTCTTAATGATTTGTCATATGCTGAGAGTAGTATGCCATTTGTTATATATAGGCAACAACAAAATTCTATACTGAAGACAACATGTTTCATAGCATGCATTGCCTCAAATTGATTTTTCACATCCAAAATTCAATCTTAGCTTTATACTTTCACTCAAATGTGTGTTATATATTCCATTCCCAATATTTTAAAGGCAACTTGTTTTGAATTTAAAGTTAATGTTGCCTCTGATTCATGAAATGAGCGTTCAACTTTTTTTATTTATTTGTTATTATCATGGCCAGTTGTTGCAATTTATAATTCAATGGTATGATTAATTGTTAAATGTGTGTGTAAGATAGTTATTCTTGGCATTCGTGAGACTTAATGCTTTTTACATTCCTTATACTTCTATCAATTGACTCAATTTTTAACTAGTAAGATATTAATCACGTCCAACTATGCCTTATAAAAAAGATTAAGCGATTGTTCCAAATATAATTCGGTTTACAACTTACAAGCCTATGGTGACGCCTGCTCTAACGCGAGCAGTGAACCTCGCGTTGCCTGGTGCTTTACTGCTTCGTTTCTCGTTAAGTCGTTAATTTGATTTGCTGCCTCATTTCAATTCTTTCACCTTTTTCTTTTGTCTTCATTGTTTCAATTCTTCTTTTGTCCTCTTTTGTCTTCTTTTAATTTCTTTTATCTTCTTTTGATTTTTTCTTGTCCCCTAATTAAATAATCACAACTTCATTTTTGTAGTGTATAAAATATATATAAAATCTTTACTTTGCTTCCATTTCGTCTTCAATGTACCTACACATAAAATAAACTCAATTAAGTATAAATATAATATAGTTTAGCATTAAAGCACCTAAATGTAAGGTAAGTAATGCATTAAAAATATATAATTATAGTCAAACATCACTACCCCACACTCAAACGTTGCTCGTCCTCGAGTCAACTAACAATTCATACTATCCTTGAGCACTTTGTTTTTACACAATTGAGGCACACTACACTAATGACCATGGTTGATAGCAACAAATAGCAACAATTAAACCTTAGCATATGCAATCACATACACTTCTCTTTTCTTGTGCCATACTTCAAAAATATGGAAACAAATACAACATTCTCATAACAATCCTAGCCTCAAAAACCAACTCAATTTCACAATGCACTCATGGCTTGAACACTCAACATCATAGAGAGAAGTCTAATAACGTTACTTATCCCTCGTGAAATCATGTGCCCTCATAACAAGAAGAGTAAGTTGAATCCACACACTTAAATCAAATGTTCATATATATATCAAAGAAAATCTCTCATTCTCGCAAAAGAAGTCACATGCATGCAATTGGCACCATAGGCTTGCCCTTAATGTAAATCTCTATTAATGTAAGCTCGCTCAATCTAAAATTAATTAGGACTTTTCATGGTTGTAATGTGGGCTAAGGGACGGGAAGAATATATTTAGGAATAGTGGCTAACCCTCTTAAGCACTTTAACACACCATATAATAATCTTTAAGTGCAAATTCTTCAATTTCACAAACAAGATCACACCCCAAAAATATTCCCTTCTTCTTTAAGCTGTCACGCCCCAACCTTGGGAGGCGTGGCTGGCACTCGGTGCTGCACTGGCCTGAGCGAACCACTTTGTACCTCATTTATTCCTTTTTTATTATTCCTTTTGTAACTATCATAGGCCAACATGGCCACAACTCATAATGTACAACTATAAGTGAGAAAATACTGTATCATTGAACCATTTTTCTTAAAAGATGAATATATTTGGGCCGTCAAGGCCTCTGACATTCTATACAAAATGAACCTCTGTCTAAAAAACATCTAAGATTATTTGACATCAAATCGGACAGGGTACCGGCCTATCCATAAGTCTATAGAAAGCTTCTGACACAATGACTCATAAACTCAGTTGCACTCCGAATGAGGTGGAGTCTTACCGATCCTTCGCTGAAGCCAATCTCATCTTATATGATAGCTCGTCAAACTGACTATCTATACCTGTACGCATGAATGCAGCATCCCCAACAAAAGGACGTCAGTACGAATAATGTACCGAGTATATAAAGCAAACAAACTAACGTTTTCTTTTTCTTTTCTTTTTTTTTTTCCTTTCTTTTTTACCTTAATGACTACTCTGATGAGAAAAGAGAAATAAAAGAAGCAAATCCTTTTTTTTTTTTTGGAATTTTCTAGACTTAATGTTCTATAACCTATTCTAAACTCAAGCTTAACGAGCATATATTTTTTTTCTTTATGAAACAAACACTCTATGGGAAATTATTAAGGAAAAACCCCTACAAGAGAAAAATATTATTTTTGATTCTTTTAGGAAGGAAATCTAAAGAATAAACCAAAAAAAATATTTTGAATTTTCATTTGATATCCCTGAAGAAAGATTTCGAAACGAGAAATGAACAAGATAAAAAATATTTTTGGATTTCAGTTTTTGATTACCTAAGGAAGAAACTTTAAAGATAAATAAAAGATAAAGTATATTTTTTTTCTTCTATGTACAGTATCCTAAAGTTCTAGTGAAAATAAAAAGAATTTTTTTTTTCATTTTTCATTAATTTCACAAAGAAGAACCTCAAAAGAAAATCTTTTTTCGATTTTTGGAATTAATATCTTAAAAGAAAACTTTTAAAGAGGTACTAAAAGAAAATTCTCTTCTTCTTTTTTTTGAATTTTAGTCTTAATATACCAAAGGAAATATAAAAGCATTTTTTATTTTAAGTTCTAGATATTAACTTCCTAAGGAAAACCACCTCAAAAGAATTTTTTTTATTTATTTCTAGAAGTGGTATTCTAAAGAAAACTTATAACGGAAATATAAAAACGTAAAATCTCTTTTTTTTATTTTTGATTTATAACACAATTTTTTAAAATACAAAATAGGAAATACATTAACAAAAGACTCAACAAACTTAACTAGCATATGACATACTCTAATATCACCTAAAAGACTTGGCATTATTGTACAAAACTAAAAGGTAAAACGCGACATAAAAAGAAAAACAGACTCAAAACATATAAAAATAAAAAATCTCATTGATCCACTCCTGAATGAGCGATCCTGACTAGATGGTCCTGGGGCGTCTACCATGCTCAAACTTCAATAAATAGATCCACACTTGTATGAGAAAATTAAGACCAAATAAAGTTAAAGACCTAGAACAATATGTGAGATAATAACACTTCATGTTGGACAACATGCAAGACATGATTTAGGCTATTTTTGCAAAATGGCTTATGCGGCCTAAAGATGGCTAGAAGTGCAAAATTTGGCTAAGACCCCGCAAAGCCTAGAACCTAAAATTTACTAGGAAGACCGGGCCCTATGTGGGTTGCCTACGTATCACGCCCCGAAAGACGAGAATCAGGTATGCGTAGTTCGGGAGAATGGATACGGGCGAGAATTAAAAAAACTAATTTAGAGAAAATATGTTTTTTGTCTTTTTTTTGAAAAATGATGAAACATGTATACTCTTTTTGAATTTTCTTTTCCCCTTTTTTTTGATTTTTTGATTTTCGGAAAATGATGAAAAAGTGCAATTTTTTTTTTTGAATTTTCCATGCTTTTTTTGTCTTTTTCTTAACAAAACGTGACAGAAAACATAATTGGGCCCTACTTGCTATATTTTCACACTTCACCATCTTTTATTCTTTTTTTCTTTTTTCATTTGCTCTCAACTATCATTGGTCTGCCAAGTGACCCTTTTACCCTTGAAGATTGCAACATGTAGCACATAGGATGCATCAGGATGGTCTTTTATTTTTGGGTACA